TCCCCCCCCCCCCCCCGTCGCTTCTCTCCCTCTCTGCCGGAGACCTCACTCCACCCACCACATGCAAACCCATACAGACAGACAGACAGACAGACACAACACACACACACACGGACGGCACCCACTCACTCCACGATTTTTGCAGCAGCTACATACCACACATTTACACACATCACGGGAAGTCGCTTTGCTACCTCATCTGATGGACTTGGCGTGGACCATGTAGAACCACTTGGCCGACTCGCCGAAGGCCTCCCCGTTCTCGTCCCGCAGGTACTGGTCGCGGAGGTCTACCGGCGTCCAGTGGTTGATGACCTCCCACTGGTGCTGCTTGAGGAATGGGGCCGCCTCGCCCTTGGGGATGCCCCAGGTGATGGGGGTCTTGTAGTTGAAGAGCGCCCGGACAATGCTTTGGCACGCCTTGTCGTCGGTGGTGCTGTCCGTCATGCACTTGTCCGTGTAGCTGACAGACAGACAGATGGACACACAGGGGAGGGAGGGAGGGAGAGAGGGAGGGATGCAGGCCGGATCTGATGGTGGTTACTCGAAGACGATGGAGCTTTCTCTGTTGGCACAGAGGTTCTGCACACACACCACACACACCACACACACACACAGAGCCGGACAGACGGACAGACGGATGGAGGTGTGGTCTGTCTGTCTGTACGTGTCTGCCCTGCTCACGCACTCACCTGCACGGCAGCCAGAGTGCTCATGACTCCTTGGGCAGACAGGTAGTAGGTCACCTACAACAAACAAACAAACAAACAAACAAACGACATCCCCCCAGGTCATCCCTCACCCCCCATGTGTGTGTGTGTGTGTCTGTCTGTCTGTCTGTGTGTGCCTCAGTCAGCTCAGCTCACCCCCTCCCAGACGAACAGGGTGTTGACTTCCTTCTTGAACCCTGCCTCGACCAGCACCTGGTCGACGCTCTGCGTGTTGAAGTCACACGACACGAAGCGCACGTCCTCATAAAGCGACGGAGATATCGACGGACTCTGCACACACACACACATACACACACACGCATACCACACCACACAGAGAGAGAGTGAGACCAGACCACCATGTGGCGGATGGAGCCCCCAGCTGAGCTGTCGGGGCTTCCCGCACCTCCATGAGTCTGAGCTTCTCGTCCTGCACGACCTTCTGGTCGACCTCATACATGGTCACAGAGTACCTCTTGCGCAACTCGGCCAGCCGGGCGAATTTCGTGTCATAACCTGATAGACCTCACACAATGATAATTAGTAGAGGAAGGAAACGGTGCCATTCGATGACTGACTGACTGAGGGTGGGTGGGTGGATTTGCTCACTCACTCACCGGCGCCCAGGAGCACCAGCTGCAGCGGGGCTGAGTCCGTTGACGCCTCGATGGCCTCACGGCAGATCTTGTCCAACGCCTTGGTGCGAGCTGACACACCCACACCCACAGACACGGCCAGCCAGCCAGACGGACAGACAGACAGACAGACACACGCACCTGCACAACAACTCTCTCTCTAGGTCGAGTCCCTCCCTCCTCACCGATGACGAATGCGACGATGCCCCATCTTTTGGCGTTGGCCTTAGCCATCAGCCGCTTGTAGGCCGGCTTGGGCAGCACCATCAACGCTCGGGTGTACAGCCACCACTTCCACCTGATCAGACAGACAGATCAGCGTGTCAGACGTGATGGATGGATTGACACAATGCAGTGAGTGCACGAAATACAACGGTTGCAACACCATGCACCCTCTCAGTCTTCTTCCCCTAAGGTACTAACGTGATGAATGCGGCGATGACTTTGCGCTCCTCGAGAGGCAGGTCATACGGCGGTGGCAGATGGGTCATGGCCATGCGGACGCAGGAGATCAAGATGGCGTTGCTGGCCTGCTGGTTGCGGTCGCGCGAGACTCCCAGCGCTCGGAAGCAGGCGCTCAGCTGCTGGCCCATGATGGATGGATGGATGGCTGAGTGACCTGCTGATCTCTGCACTGCAGTCTGCACAGACAACTTGAAGGTACCTGCAGATCACACACACGGCAGGCACTCTGGCTGCCGTTTTTCTCCTTTCTTTTCGCTGAGCTTGGCCTGTCCCACCTGAACGTAACGTCTCCCCTCCTCCTCCTTCGCTTCCTCCTTCAAAAAAGCTCGCAAAAAACCTCAGCTCGCAGCTCTTTCCTCTTCCCGAAACGGCTCCATCGCACGGACAGCCACACACTCCACGGTCCACTCACTCATCGGTTGGTGTATCGATTGCTGTAGTTTGACCATCTTGAAACTTAATTGATGTGAGCGATGGGGAATTCCATCCGCAGCGAGGCTGGCAGCGATGCGGGCAGCGCGCGGGGCACCCACCGCGACAGTGAGCACCCTGGCGGGCAGAGCGCCTCGTCGGTGTCGGTCCTGGACTCCAAAATCTCCCGGGGATACGGCAAGTTTGAGTTCAACACAGGAGATGTCTACGAGGGCGAGTACGAGGGCAAATACAAACACGGTCAGTCAGCGCCACTCACTGAGGCGACCGACAAACCGGCGCACAGGCCCTCGGACAGACAGACAATGGGTTGGTGTGGTGTGTTGTGTTGTGTTCTGTCTGTTGTGCCTGTGTGTCTGTGTGCAGGTATCGGGACGTACTTGTATCACAATGGCGATGTGTACGTGGGGGAGTTCTACCGCAACGCGCGGCAGGGGTGGGGCGTGTACATCACGGCGGGCAACGAGCGGTACGAGGGACAGTGGGCGGCGGACAGAAAGTCGGGATACGGGCTGATCTCGCTCAAACACGGTATGGTGTGAGTGAGGCATGACAGCTGTGCACAGTTGCAGCCAACAACACGACACCATATATAAACACGGAGGCATGGGATGCGATGGATCCATATATCCCTCTCTCTCTGTCTGATTGCATGTGTCAGGGATTCGTTTCATCGGCCAGTTCAAGAACGACAAGCAGCACGGTCTCGGCGTGTGCTTTCTCGCCAACGGGTCGCTCTTTGCGGAGTGGCGCAAGGACGGCAGGGAGACCCGCAAGGTGCCCCTCTTCCACGACCTCATCCTGCCCAAACCATCAGACAACCACCAGCACCAGCAGCACCCGGACAGGCCAGACGGCGCACACCCACACTCACACTCAATCGGCAAGAGCAGAACCGCCACCAGCAGCCCCGCCTTCAGCCGGTCTCGGTCACGTGTGCGTGACAGAGACAGAGACCACACCCGGCCACACCCAGACATCAGCATGGGCCACCGGTCGCCATCGGAAGCTGGGGGCGGCCAAACCAGCAGCTTCGACACCATGAGCAGCGACTCCTCTGGGGACGAGGGCCCCTTCATCATGGACCACCTGCACTTCCTCGATCGGCTGCCGGTGCTCCAGAAGCAGCAGGACGGTGGCGAGCCGGCGGCCGCTACTGCCGCTGCAGCAGCGCTACCGGTGGCAGCACCGGGTGTGGGCGAGACGATCAAGAAGGTGGTCAGCGGTCGGCAGAACATGATGCGGTGGCCCCACCCGCACCTGCAGGGGCGGCTGCCTGTGGGGAGGGACGCGCAGCGGATCGCCGAGATGTCCAAGGCTGAGAACTGCCTCGGCTGGAGCACCTCGGAAACCTGCCACTTCCTCAGGTGTCTGAGTGGACTGATGGGACGGACGCACAGAAATCCTTTTTCTTTCGTTTGTGTAGTGGATGTCCGCGTGTGTGTGTTGGTGTGTGTGTGCGGTGTCAGGTGCATGGGGCTGGAGCGATTTGTGGACATATTTGAGAAGGACGCCATCAACGGTGCGGTGATTCCGCTGCTGAGCGAGCGGGAGCTGCGGGCTCTGGGCGTCGTCGATGAGCGGGCCTGCAAGCTGCTCTACCTGGCCTTCTCACTCCTGCTCAAGCTCAGACACAGAGCCATCAGCAAGAAGAGCCTCGCTGACGGTGAGTAGAGTAGCTAGCTGGCATTTCACGCGCGCAGCGCACAGACAGAGGGCGAGAGGGAGGGGAGGGGAGAGGGACAGACAGACACACCCATTCTGTGCCTTCGTGGTGTGCAGGTTTCGAGACGTTTCTCAAGTCGCCGACGTTGTCTCTGATCCTGATCGACCCGCGCGACATTCAGCTGGACCACTGCATCGGGGAGGGGGGCTACGGCAAGGTCTTCAAGGGGCGACTCAAGAACAACGAAGTCGTCGCCTGCAAGATATTCAGAGCCAAGGACAAGGACACCGTCGCCAAGGGATTCTACCAGGTAGGTAGGGTGCACACGCCACTGTGGCGCAAAGAGAGGTCGATGCGATGCATGTGTGTGTCTGTGTGTGTCTTGGCCAACCATGCCATCCATGCAGGAGTTGTCAGTGCTGCATCGGCTGCGCCACCCGAACGTGATTCAGCTGCTGGGTCTGTGTCTCGACCAGCGGTATATGATCGTCATGGAGTTCCTGCCGTGCGGGTCGCTCTTTGACGTCCTGCACAGACACAAGCTCAAGCTCGAGCCGCGCAAGATTCTCCGCATCTCCAGGGACATCTGCTCGGGCATGGCCTACCTGCACGAACAGGTAGGCGCACGCACACGCACACACAGGAGGGTGGTCGCATCACGGCAGACAGACACCATTTCTCTCTCTCTCTCTCTGTGTGTGGTTGTGTGTGGTTGTGTTCACCAGGGTGTGTTGCACTGTGATTTAAAGTCGTCCAACATAGTGGTGTCAAACAACTGGGACATCAAGATCTGCGACTTCGGCCTCTCCAGCCCCCTGCGGGACTACGACAGGAAGTTCCACATGACATGCCCCAAGATGCTGGGGGCCGTCGGCACACACCACTGGATGGCACCAGAAGGTACGTAGGGACCCACGGCCACCCACCTTCGTCCTTTGCGCGCAACTGGATGGATGGATGGATGGACTGACGAACGAATGTGTGTGTGTGTGTGATGCATGGCTTGGTTGTGTTCAGTGTTGCGCGGCGACGAGTTCACGCAGGCGGCCGATGTGTATTCGTTTGGGATGATCCTGTGGGAGATGGTCTGCAGACAAATACCACACCACGGTAGGTACGCCACCATCGTGTTATGAATGTGCGTGTGTGCGTCCTGTCCGCCTACACATGACATGTGGCTTCGTTGCCCTTCCCCCCC